AGACAATACAGAAAAACTAAAATTTGACAACATATTCATATACATTAAGGCTAAGCAAAACAATATTCAAAATCAAGTGAAATTAATGTATTCCTTAAATATTGTATTAATTAGTAATTTCCGTTTGTACACACTGCAACGCGGGAGTAGGGTCCGAGAAATGGACACTCCTCGGCTGCACACGGCGCTAGCCACTACCTTCTCCAGTTTTATTGTTCGACGTACTTCTCGTACGTGAAGACTAGGCGAAAACCGGGATGAGGTATCGATGTGCGGAATAATCGATTTGGCCATGGATCGTCTCGGACAAGTACGGCCGGAAGTACCATGGGCGGTATTTGCTAGTTCCCAGCTTCAAGTAAGTTCCTACTGTCAGTACAGCCGAAGCGAATCCCAAGTGGTCACATCCGAGTGCCAAGTCGATCATAGACTTCCCGTCAGGACATCCCAGGACCATGTTCCAAGGATGTTCCTATTGGCTTACAATCTGGCCGCACAATTGAGGATAAGCTCCTCGGAAGTTCGGGTCGCGGCATTCCCAGTTCGCAGCAAAGGCCAGCGCCAAGGAACTAGTCGGGACCGCGATTGAGACCATTCAAAGGTCCTAATAATACAGCCTATCGAGCTTCGCGAGGCGTGTTTTCCGGGCCGAAGAATAAGCCGTACAACCACAAAACAGTCTCGAGCATACCAGCGCTTCAAATACTTTTAGTAGGGTCTTCTTATCCGCACTCCACCTAAAGTGACCAATTTATTTAAGCAGACCAAGGGTTTTCCTTGAACGGACTTCGGCAGTTTCGATATGTAACTGCTATTAAAACTTTTCATCAAATAAGAGGCCGAGGAATCGCACCTTCTCCTCGTATCGAACCGACGCGCCATTGAGGGAGAATGAGGAAGGCTGTATGGCATCCTCGATCTTCAAAAATGAAAGAAACAGCTTTTGGCGAAGAGTACTGAATCCGGCTCCTCAGCGTTCGCAGTTACCGGGTTTATGGCCGGCAACATCACCCCCACCGTTTCAGTTACATTTCTACCAGAGAAGTAGAAGCAAAGGTCGTCGACTGGGATATTTTGTTTTTGTATTTTTAAAATATGCCAGTCTGCGCATTGTGTTTCTTGGTCATATATTTTCCACATTTTTCTTGCCTTCTGCTGTTTTGTTTTAAATTATACTGGTTATAGCCTTTTTTGAATTTTAATAGTGAAATCTTTTGTATGATGTATATTTCTATGGGTTTTTGTATATGCTGAATTCTTTTGTATTGTTGATTTTGTCGTTTAGATGAAAATGAATGTCTTTAGTGTTAGTTGTTAGTGTGTTTTGGTCTTTCTCTTTCTCAGGCACAATATCTCTCTCTCTTTTATTCTCTTTCTGCACGTTTGTGTGTGTTGTCTGTATATGACTATTACTACCCTTCTTCCATCTTTCTTTTTCTTGGTTTGAGTATGAATATTTATGTTTGTACATTTGTTTCTGTCTTTCTCTCGCTCTCAATTTATCTATATGTCTATCAACTTCCTTCTCTTTCTATGTCTCTCTCTTTTCTTTCTTTTTCTCTGTTTTTATCTCTATATTTATCTCCTGTGCCAGCCTGTCTCTGACNGGAAAGCGAATAGAAAAACCAACTGCAATAGTTTACCAATTTGTATTAAAACGTAAACAGTAGCAGATAAAATAGTCTCATGAAAGCAAAAGTAACATAGAAAAGCATGTCACGGTTACATTTATTAATGGGTTCATGTACATTCGGTGTTTATTCTCGATGAAGATAGCGCGATGCCGATGAGAGGAAATACTCAGTAGGAAATGATCAGTAACTGCTGACAAGAGGTCATCCACTCTTAAGATCAACCGATTGCCGAACGATTTATTGTCAGATAATAAATTGGAGGGAAAAAATCCCTTTTTTTCGCGAAAGAACGAACCTACACAAATACATCTCTAGTTTTATAGTGCATGTACACATGCCCGTCAAACATTACCCACCTGGAGATACAGGATCCGCCGATAATCGGGGTTTCTTAGATAAAATCCTAGGGTGACGACCTCTGCCAGCAATTGGACAATGGCCGTGACAAAACTTTCCAGTTACCGGTTTATCGCAGTGGGAGTGGTGGGCCTGCGAGCTTTTAAAACGCCGACTAATTAATTATACAAGCCCGATCTCTGATTATGTGCCTTGCATTTAGATTAGTTGCCACACAAATTCGATGATCAAGAAACCGCCCAACAAGATGAAAAAATTAACTACATCAGATTGCTTATTCATGGTTCTTATGAATAACTGCAGATTACTTAGCAAACTAGCTGTTGGTTTTACTTATGCAGTTTATTTTTGTTTTACAAAATTTGAATGTTTCACTTTATAACATTTCTCACCAATTTAAGTCAATACTAATCCTTCGGTTTTTTAGGCAAAAACTCGCATCCATAACGTTACGACTTCTTACGAAACTGCCTTTTAAATAAATGTGCCATTGTCTGGAAAAGAGAATCGATAGATAACACCGATATCAAGGTAATAAGCAGGGGGTGGTGAGACGCTGAATCTCTCCATGTCGTCGTATTTTGTCTATGTTAATAGTGAACTACGAAGAAAGTTTTCTGTTTTCACCTCTGTAAAATTTTCAAAGAGCCATGCTTTCAACTAATATGCTCTTAACAGAAAAAAAAAGAATCCATAGTAGAACGGTACAACGTTAGGGATATAAGCAGGGAGAAGCAAAACTCTGACACTTTCCATTTCTGTATATTTTATCTGTTGTAAAGCGCACTGCTAAGTAATTGTGTCAAATTTATATTTTACATAATTTTAAGACCAGTAATGTCCATAATAACAAGGATAAATTTAAATATAAGTTTTATTTTAATTTCTATCATCTCTCAGCCAGAATTTAAATTGGACTGTTCACGGTTTCCAAGTGACTTTCAAATCCCCTTAATTTTCAAAAAGGCTCCCTTTTAAACAATATGGAATTGAAGCGGGGAAAAATGGTAACTTAGTATAACAGTAGGGGTATAAGTAGGGAGAAGCAAGACGCTGACGCTTTCTACGTTTCCGAATTTAGCTTGCGTTACAGCAACCGGTTCACGCGCACTATGTGAAATATTCCCGCCTTTTTGCCATTTTTCAAATGTCGTGTAATCTATTTTATTCTCCGCGATAAATGAAATGGCCACGGAGAGCTTTCGTGCAGCAGTGGAACAAGAGATGATCCACGTCTTGAACCTGACTGCCGCAAACCCACGCCGGTAATGTTGTCACTCCTATTCTATGCAAATATTGAGTGTCAACACGCTCCTGTCTTATACCTTTTCAAAAAACTTCCTCGGTTGTTCCCCTGGTTGACTTTCTCGATGCAATATCCCATTTTGTAAGACGACGTTTCAAAGAGGCTTTTTTTAACAGGGATAACTCTATTGGTATTTGAATGTCATCTTCAGCTTCTTTGCCCAGTCGGTCCGTTTCTTCATTGCCCTGGATACTGACATGTGCTTTCATCCAAAGAAAACCAAATTGTTTTCCAGCTTCCGTCAGTTGTTTGCCTTGAAACCTAATATCTTCGCATAATTGTCCATGGTTCTTCGGATTCCTTATTGATCTGATTGCTACCATGTTGTTTGTATGAATAATATTCTTAGGATCTCCGCTTGTATGCATCTGACCAGCCTTAATACACGTCAAAACCTTAGAAATCAGAAGGTCTTCCGCTTGGTTATTTGAGCGAAATTTTTCCAGTCTGTACATTTCCGAGTGAATTTTTTCATTTCTGTGATAGACAATAAATGAAGATCCCACGTTTCCATTCTCTTGTTTGCTTCCGTCGGTATATACGTTAATTACATTTTCATCTTCTATCCTTCAATCAATGGATGAAAGGTTTGTAATTGCAACCGTTTCAACAGGATGTGCCCATAAATAGGTAAGGGTAGGTATGTGTATGTCGAAAGTTTTGATTTTAATGGTAACTTTGATTGTCTGTTGAGTAGGTAATAAAGCATTTTAAGTTAGTCTTCTGCCCAATGTAAGTAAAAATAAAATAAATGAGGTTTTATTCTATATCGTCTTTCAGTCAGCATTTGAATTGGAGTACTCAGCCTGTTTCGAAGCAAAATCGATCTTTGTATTTATCAAATATTCTGCTTTTCAAAAGATACCATTATAAGGAAAATACCATAGTCACAATGTATAACTTAAGGATGTAAAACTCTCATTTCTACTGCCGTCCAGCGAAGCGTGCCTTTGTCAAACACGAAAAACGGGTACGAATTTGCATATCTTTATTCTGGTTTGTCAAACCAGGATATCTTTACAAATTAATAGCATTATTGATTAATATTTGCTTAATTGTACTTACTAACACTTCTAATCCAACCGCATTCAGCCTCAAGAAGATTTTATTGATGAAGGGTAGTGGTAAATTTCTTGATCAATGAATAACATATGGTACACTTTAATTGTTTTTTATAATATATATTCATTAATATTCAATTTATAGGCTCAGTTTTCTAGGGCTAAAGTTAGGTAACGTAGTTCCAGCTGTGATAATTTCTTAATACGAAACCATTTGGTCTTCAGCTAATAATTTACGGCGATAAATTATATTTTAAATTATACTGTTTTGGGAATCGTTTAAGGATCTGATTTTTGGATGTGTTCGACCTTAGTTCAAGATTTATGGGGTTTTCAGGAAGAAAAATATTGATGAAATCGACGATCGCTTTTTGAGATATTTTTATTATTATTATTTTTTTTACGAGGATTTGCAACGGCAGAGGTCATATAAACTCTCAAGGTGCCGGTGTTTTTGAAAAAAAGCCCATTTGTAGGTATGTCGGGTTCGAATGCAGGGCCGCTGGATTCGAACCCGGGACCTTTACCTTACAGTGATAAGCGCCGTGTCAACGCCCAAACCGTTGCGGCCACCGACGCCCCCCTTTTAAGATATTCATCATGCTTCCAACATTTAAAATTTAAGTCGAATTAAAAACAACAATGTTTTAAAGTTATTTATTGGATCAATAAATATAAAGGAGAAGAAATGGGATGAGGAAGTTTATTACCACACGTAATGTGCACCGAATCCATCGAAGGAAAGGTGTGAGACTGCGGGGGCGGCGGAGTAAGCGACTCCGAGGAGACCGTGGGCGACGGGGGCGGCGTGGGCGTAGGTGGCGACTGCGGGGGCGGCTACAACTGGGGCGTGGGAGTAGGTGGTGACTGCGGGGGCGGCTACAACTGGGGCGTGGGCGTAGGTGGTGACGGCGGGTGCGGCTACCACTGCGTCGGCGAGGTAGCGGGCATCGTTGGTCACTCTTGTGTCATACTTGCGCACGGATGAGAAAGCTGTGTCCACGGCTTTCGAGTACTGGGAAACGGACGAGCTTCCGTCGTAGGATCTGCTGACCGATTGGACGGACGAGCCGACGGCCGGGGAGACGGCGACTGCTGGGAAGCCGGGAGCGGCGCTAGCGCAGGCTGCAAGAGCGGCAAGAACGAAGAGCTAACACAAAACAAAAGATTTATCACATCATTTTTCCTATTTGCGATTTTATTTATGACCTAAATTCATAATAGCTGTTAAAATAGAATTTTCCAGTTGTCGTGTTACCGCGCGCGTATCTACACGTGTATTTCTCTCTCCGGCTGCCATTCTCTCTCTCTCTCTCTCTCTCTCTCTCTCTCTCTCTCTTTCTCCCTCCCTTTCTCTCTCTCTCTCTCTTTCTTTCTCCCTTATTTTACTTCTATCTCTCTCAATTTTTTTTCTCACTTTCTATTTATCTATCTAGTTACCTATCTATTTTTCTTTCTGCCCGTTGGTATGTGTGTTTTGTTTGTATCTGGTCTACTCCCTTTCTTTGTTTGTGTTAGTTGGTTTTGTATGTCTTTGTGTCTGTCTTCCCCCTCTCTCTACCACTTTCTTTATCTGTCTCTCTCTCTCTCTCCCTCACCCCTTGTTGTGTCTGTCCGTTTGACACACTCTCTCTCTTTATCTGTCTCCTCTCTCGCTGTTTCTTTCTCTCTCTTTACCTCTCTTTATCTGTCTCCCCCCCCTCTCTCTCTATCTCACTCCCTTGGTGTGTCTGACCGTTTGACTCTCTCTCTCCTCCTCTCTTTCTCTCTCTACCTCTACCTCTCTATCTATCTATCTCTATTTCTCTATCTCTATCTACCTATTTATCTCTCTCTCTCTCTCTCTCTCTCTCTCTCTCGTTTACTTTGTATTTCTTTCTCCTTCACTCTCTCTCTCTCTCTCTCTCTCTCTCTCTCTCTCTCATCCAGTTTATATATATGTGTATGTACGCCAACATTATGAAATTGTTGTTATTGTTTCTTTCTAATTCGAGGAGGATTTCAGGCTGAGGTTGGAAATGTCTAATTAACAACTCAAATCTGACAGCGCGGAAAATTCTGCCTGGCCTGTACCGTATGTTTACGAATAATGTTTGCCACGCTTACATACATTTTACATTCGTTGACAATGTAAATTTGTAAGGACGTGTTAACTCTCGAAAGAAGTCGCGTGTAAACAACCGAACAAAGGTCGTTATTTAAAAACTTACTGTTTAAAACAGAAGCATTTTTTTCTAAGTAGTTACTACTTAATAAATAATTGCCTGAAAGTTTTAATTAAAATTTGTTACTTATTATTATTTTAATTATTATCCAGTGATCATAAATTACCATTAATGTTTTGCTTGGGCAAGGTTAGAGATTTAATTGAGACAGAATGAGAAAAATTAGTGGTGGTTGAAAGGGTACTGAAGACGTAAATTAAACAACTGCAAAATATAGTGGACAATTATGGCATAAGGTTAAAAATAAATTTGATGGTTGAAATTAGTCCATAAAAAGCGGTCAAAATACGAAAGGACAATTATGGCCATTTTTTAATTATTGCAGTAATAAGTCTGTGGGATTAATATGGTTATAAAAAATAAAATAAAATAATAAGTCTGTACCCGTTAAAAATAAAAGGTTCTTATATTAATAACAAATTAACGAATCGAATATATCTTATAAATGGTTACAACTAATTTAGTAAGGAAAAGGGAATATTTTCTTATGATAGAAAGTAATTAAGTGTAAAGTTATTTTTTTGGTTTCCTTTTCACTGGACAAGTTGTATAGTATAGTGTAACGAACATTGATGAACGAAAACCACTCCACAAGAATTCTTTACTTTGTCCTTGACACACTTTTATTTTTACTTTATCTTCTTTCTAAAGTTGCAAGCGACCGAGTAAACTCCAAATCCAGCGTGGCTCTTCCTTAGGCCTGCCGCCGTCCTCTCGTCTGCCTCCTCAATCGTTGGAACTCTGCCTTATTGATTGTTTATGTCGCTTTGGCGGCCTTTATGAAATGGCTTTGTCATAGCAGGAAGCGTTTAAATATTAGAGAAATGACAATTATTGCATTTTTTAAAGAAACTATAATAAATCCCTTTATATTTTCATGATTTGAAATATATTTATGCTCAAACCTTCATGATTGTTTCGAAATTGATTGGAATTACATTGCGACGTTTTGTATCTTAAAAATTGTAGGAGAGAGCTTTTCCTTTCGACACATAAAAGCAATCGACCCACATCATAATACAAAACGGATTAAAATCTTTACCCGTCTATTATGATTAATTAACAAATTAAGTAATAGACGGAAATATTACACGACATCATCAGTCATCTAGTTAGGTGTTAATCTGATATTTAAAGATAACAGTAATAGACGAAGGTGTATATTTATAGGTCAAAACAGGGAAAAAATCAAATAAGGAGAAACGATATCCGTATTTGTAAACTAATTTAAGTCTGGTCAAGTCCGTTCTTTTAAGTTTTAATATCTAAAGTAAAAATATATATACAGGGTGTGTCAACTTCTTTAGTCTACCCATTTAATTCGGGAACTATTAATTTTAGGAAAGAATGAACTTGTACAACCTTAAGTTAATTTTGACTAGGGGCGGCGTGTTGGTAACAGATTTAACGTAACTTTCTCATCTAGCTGGGAAATGGCACTATCTTCGTTATTTTAAATGAGAATCCCATATTTTTATTTTCATTCGATGCTAGAGCTTATTTTATGCCACTTTTACTGAAAGGAAAATTTTGTTAAGATCGGCCATTTCTAAGTTATGCCTGAGGGAATAAGCGTGAGGGGGTGGGCTTTTTGTAACAAAAATTAACAGAAAATTAACTTGGGGTTGGTAAGACCATTTTTTGCTAAGGTTAATCGTTTCTGAATTAAATGGGCGGTCTATACAAGTTGATACACCCTGTACATGGGAATCCGAGTCGATCGAAGTCACGATAGCTCAAGTGATTAACGCAACGGCGTATTGAACGAAGATCGTTGGTTCAAATCCCGCTCGTGACGTTAGCTTTTTCATCACAACCAAGGCCTTAGATAAAAAGTACAATTAACTGTAAAAAATGTGGAAGAAAGTAATAGGAGTTAAAAAGAAAGTTCGTTGGTGTATTCTGCAATATTTAGAGAAAAAAGTCAATCTGTAATAGCCAAAATAAAGTATACCAACCATTTTTTTAAAAAATTTGTCTTCATTAAAAAAAAAGTGGATGGAGCACATAACATCGATCACCTTGTATATAATGAAAGACTTGGTTGTTTCAGCAATAGACTATCTAATTAAAAATAGTATGCTTGAATTTTATTTAAGAAAAAAACATTTTTAAATTGAGCTTTTGTGATTTCCGTTCATTTTTAAGTACCCTTAACAAAAAGCGTTAAATAACTTTTTTGTATTGTACTACATTTTTATTGGCCTAGTCTTAAAAGGTTGGCAAATATTTTGATGGACCTACAGTAAAACCAGTACACCTTCTAAACTTGACCAATACAAAAAAGTACAATAGATTTTTCATGGACGGAAAAAAAGAAGCATTTTCCTTTTTGATAGAATTAGCAATTTATTTGCCAGAACATTGTAATTGTTTATGTCTACGAGCTTTGTCTTGGTCACCAGACTTGCGAGAAGACAAAAAGGAGTTTCTCAATTAATTATACACAAATTGTTCGAAATGAAAAATTTGTGTCACATACGGGATTCGAACCCACGACTTTCGACTAAATACGCTGCTGCTCTACCACTTGAGTTACCGTGACTTCAATCGCCCATTTCGACTCGAGGTTTTTAGTTGAGATATAAAAGTCATTACCATTAGCGGGATTCGAACCCACGACTCTACTACTTGAGCTATCGTGACTTCGATCCACTCGGACACCAACTTCCCATCTCAACCCCACCTTTTGAATTTTCCCTCCTTTTTGCCATTTTTCAACTGTCGTGTAATCAGGATTCGATTCTCGGCGACAAATGAAATGGGCACGGAGAGCTTTAGTGAAGATATACTTCATTTAACTTATTAAATTCACTAGTTTTCGTGGTCCTCTTGACCAATTAATATCTTTCAATTAATTAAGGTTTTCTAGTGGAGAAAAACTCATTTGTCGGGGGTTGCGATGAGAGTGTCCGAGTGGATCTAAGTCACGATACCTCAAGTGGTAGAGCAGCGTCGTATCTAGCCGAAGGTCGTGGGTTCGATCCCGCTCGTGACACTGACTTTTTATCTCAACTAAAAATCTTAATTAATTGAAAGATATTAATTGGTCAAGCGGACCACGAAACCAGTGAATTTAATAAGTTTAAATGAAGTCACTAAAGCTCTCCGTGGCCATTTCTTTGTCGCTGAGAATCAAATAGATTACACGACATTTGAAAAATGGCAAAAAGGAGGGCAAATGCAAAAAGTGGGTTTGAGATGGGAAGTTAGTGTCCGAGTGGATCGAGGACACGGTAGCTCAAGTGGTAGAGGAGCGGCGTATTTAGCCGAGGGTCGTGGGTTCGAATCTCGCTCGTGACACTGACTTTTTTATCTCAACTAAAAACCTTAATTAATTCTAAGATATTAATTGGTCAAGCGGACCACGAAACTAGTTATTTAACTTTTTATTAACGATTGTACTACATTAACGGGACTGTGTACGATTCACAGGCGTGATTCTAGATTAATACTAACTTTGTAATTATTTTATCAGCTTATGCTTACAATTGGAATAAAACGTGGAGTCGAAATGGGAAGTTTGTGTGGCATGGGCGATTGAAGTCACGGTAGCTCAAGCGGTAGAGCAGCTGCGTATTTAGCCGAAAGCCGTGGGTTCGAATCCCGCCTGTGACACAAATTTTTCATTTCGAAAAAAATTGTGTATAATTAATTGATTAATGATATAATTAATGATAAACTGATAAAAATAACTTTAAAAAAGGAGGTAAGGTTTATTTTTGAGGTCTGCCAGGTGATGAATGTGTTCGATCATTTCGGTCTGCCTATCTTGCTTTTTTGATACGTCAAACGAGTTTCAGCATCTCGTCATCTTCAGTGATTGATCATAGCGAGGCTAGGCAGACCAATATGACAGATTCTCTGGCAGACTATTGGTTAAAAGAAATTGCTTTAGCCGCTGTTTCATTTTTATTTTGTTAAAGAACGAAGGTGGGGGGACCGTGGTAGCCGAGTGGTTAGCATGAGAGACTCTCACGCCGCGGTCGTGGGTTCGATTCCCACCGTCGCCTCTGGCCCTTTTTTCCCGATAACCCCCAATTGGTACACACAAGAATTCGTACTATGGCTAATATGCAAGATCATAAGGCCAATAAAAAAAAAAAATAATAATAAAAAAAAAGAACGAAGGTGGATAGATAACCTTTAGAGTCCAGTTTTGAGGTGCCAAAGTACTTCTATATTATTCACCAGTTATGTAGTTTAAAAAAAAAAAACGATGGAGGAGTTAGTTGATATGAAAGCCCCCAATGGAAGTCGTAAGTGCTTTTTAACTTAAACAAATTGCCCAGAATTAACTTTCTTCTTCTTAATTCTTTGAACTATACTGTATACCGGATTGCAATGGATTACGGCTTACCTTGTACATTGTTGTTGGCTGTTCTGATCTGCCCGTGCGACCCGCCGTTTATATATAACCGGTAGGCGACACCTCGAAGGATATTTCTTTGCGAAATTTAGCAAGGTTGGACAAGCGGCCACACCTGGGGTTATTAATTGAGTACGTCCTAGTCGGATTGCAACGCCCACGGGACGTTGTCAAAACAGTGAGTACGCCAAAATCGGCCGCTTAAAAAAAGGCCTATCCTTTCGAGGGTCGAAAGACTGATTGACAAACGCCAATAGGCAACAGATCAGGAATAACAGATTGGAACAGGCAGAAGGTATCTAAAGTTTAATTGGCTTACATTGTCTTAGGGATTATTCAAATGATCCTACTTAAAGAGAAGTATGCCAACTACGCAAGAAGGCACTTGTTCTAGTCTCGGTGTTGTTTCTTTTATGAAACTAGTTATTAAGGGGTCGTTTAGACCAGTCCATTGCGATTGTTCTGCCTAAGGAAAGTAATTTATATAATTATTAACAATTTATTGCATTGTGATATCCATCAGCACAGTTGTTCAAGGGTTCGTGAATTTTTTAAAGGTAAAACTGCTCAAATATATCCTGTCCTAATGAAGATCGACCTGCAGATAATCAATGTAGAGTTCAGATCTTCTTTAAGGTCTTTACTAGGTGAAAGAAAGACAAAAGTGTTGGGATCACCAAGCTTTCGGCAACATTATGTTAAACACTTTTGTCTTTCTTTCACCTAGTAAAGACCTTAAAGTAGATTTGAAATCTACATTGATATCCTGTCCTGTTTGTAGTATGTTTCTAAGTTAAGGCACTACGTTTTATTACATTTTTAGTATACAAAAATCTACACTTGTATCAATAGATAAAGTGCAATGTAGATTATTTCCTTTATTTGGGACGAACTATGTAAAAGAGAAATTAAGTTCTTTTGAAAACCAACTTTGATTCTTAAATATCTGGGTTTTAATGAAATTGTAGATATCTTTTATAAAAATAACAGACAAGAGAAAAACAAAAACTGTTGGGGGAGAGTCATTCCCAGAAGAAAGTAGAAATTGATAATAGGGCAGGGTTTCTCCAAACAGTTATCAATATTTTTGGTTTACTGCCATTAAAGCTTAAAAATAAATTTAAAACAAAATTAATATAGATCAGACAATTGATGACGGCAAAAGCAGTCATCCGTAGCATTGCACATCAAAGGAATTGCGATATAACAACGAACCAAAACAAAAGAAACAGTAATAAAGCAAAATCATTGATAAAATCAAAAAGAACATCTAACGCTAAGACCTAGTACAAAGAAATAACAAAATAGTACTACAAAACGAAACAATAACGGAAAATCAAATGAAAATATCATAGAAACGACTGTAGAGAACCAGGGAATTTACTAAGTAAAAAGAATATTAAAAAATAAACCAATTTGAAAATGTACCAAAGTAAATAATTTTTTAAAAATTAAGGTTATCTCATCAAAATTGTTATTCGCCGATAATTTAAATACTGTTATGTTTCGAAAAATAGCAAGAAAAGAGAAACAGTAAAAGCAAACCCAACAGTAAATTGATTTCAGATATGAAGGGAAAAACAATATCAAAAATACTTCAAAAAACACGAAGGAATAGCAAAAATGGAATTAAAAGTATAAACAAAAAGGCAATAATAAAAAACAGCTATTTAAAGAAGCACTAAAGCGAGTATAAAATTAACAGCAACAACAGTAATACGTTTTCCTTCAAAAGTACTAGCTAAACAATAATATAAAAATTAAAGATAAGAGAAAAAGTAAAAGCTCTAATTATTGAAATAATCTCTATAATAATAAATAAATAAAACAGTCATTGTATGTATGTAAAGTTGACAAAAAATTATTGAAAAAAAGGTTAATAGCATAGAGTGAGAAAGAGAGACAGACAGGCACGAGAGAGAAAGGAAAAGAAAACGTAAGACAGACAGAAAAGCGGGAAACGATAGAGAGAGGGAGGAAAACAGGAAGAGAGAGAGAGAGAGAGAGAGAGAGAGAGAGAGAATCGATAGATCTAAGACCTCCTGACACTTACATCAAAAGGAAAAATAGTAACCAAAAGCCAATTTGCAATGAAAATAAATAATTTGCAGCAAAAGGAATAGACCTAAAGAACGTCAAAAACAAAAGCTACAGAAAATGGGAAAAAAAATAAGGACAAACATAAAAGGCGAAACAACTGGAAAAGAAAATCAACGGTACGAACAACAATAAACGAGCCAGTATTAGTAATAGAAACAGTACAAATATAAATGGTATAAACAAATAACCAGCGAAAACAATTGCCAAAAAATTATCAAAATAAAAAATAAAAGTGAACGACAGTAAATGGCAAATAAACAGCTTGAAAGCACACCAAAACCAAGAACAACAACACGAAAATCAGAAAAGACCAAAAATCAGGAAAAACATATGAAACTAATAGAGCAAACAGCCATTAAGAGCTATAAAATAACGAGTAAATAAAGTAAAATACGCAATAAAAATATAAACTAAACAAAAATTTAAAGGAAAATTACAAGAGAAATCAAAATCAGAAAGAAAAAAAAGTCGGCAAAAACACATGAAACTAGTAGCAATAAAAAAACCAATAACGGCTATAAAATATAGAGTAAATAAACTAAAAGACGCAATAAAAATATAAACTAAACAAACATTTAAAGGAAAATTACAAGAGAAATCAATGGAAAAAATAAAACAAAAGTTGGCTGCAATAATAACTAAAAAAAATGTTTATCAAAAATAAATCAACGATAAAGAGCATCCAAAACAAATAGAACAATACACAGCTAGAGAAAATGTATCAAAACAAAACAATATTAAATTTTACTTTTGTGTAGCTGAATATTATTTATTGGTGCATTTGAAAAGTCTTACTTATGTTCATTTGATCATATAATCGGCATTATTATTGTAACATCAAGGCTACTGTTTTTGTGAGGATGAAAGTTATATAACAGACAAGTAATTATTTTACTATGACTTAAAATGACTAGATTATTTTTAGGCAGACATTTTTTATTTTTATTTTTTAAATCAACTCCTTCGTTTTGGCATCACTTATTTCAAGCACAAAATGTTCAAGATTTTATTTATGTTTTTACTGCTATGAAGTTATATGATTGCATTTTAGTGATTATCTACGTACATAACAATTATTGATTATTGCAGTGAAATGAACAATTCTCACCAACTGTTATTAATTAACGACTCTTTCAAAAATTTAGTTAATAGGTTTATTTTTAAAATATAAACCAGAATCATGAATAATCACTGTTCAATATGATGATATAATAAACAATTTTAAGGTTGTATTTCTTTGGAAAGTCGATATCAAGTATAAAGTAACAGCACAAGAACGAAAAAATAATACAATAACACCAAGAAGACAAAAAGTAACAGAAAAACTGCTACAACACCAAAAAAAAGAAACAATAATTAACGAAATCAAGCATTAATAGCAACAACTTTAACAACTGTACCAGAAAATGTAATAGCAAAATCAACTGCCAGAACATTAGAGAAAGGCAAAAGTAGCAAATCAAAAGTTAACGTTGTACAAAAATAAACGGAAAAACGAATATAAAAAGTAAAAAACGTTAAGTTATAATGTAATAATAACAACAACAGCCAAAAAGTACCAATAACAGTACTAAAGGGGCGTCGGTGGCCGCAACGGTTTAGGTGTTGACACGGTGCTCATCATTGTAAGTTAAAGGTCCCGGGTTCGAATCCAGCGTCCCTCAAAAACACGGCACCCCGAGGGTTGATATAACCTCTGCTGTTGCGAACCCTCGTAAAAAAATTAATTAATTAATTTTATTAAATTTTTTTTTACTAAAAACATTAACATTAACAATAAAACCTACACAAAAAATAAATAGCCTAAAACGAATGGAAGATTAGCTGCAAAATCAATAAATACATGTAAAAATAAAATTAAAAATTTAAAGTAAAGGCTAGTAAAGGGAAGATTAACAACAAATACCACAGCAAAAGTAAAGGTTACAAAAATTAGAAAAAAATGTGTATGTAGCATATGTATACCGAGTAGAACTACAGAAAAATCAAAATCAAAACAACAAATGCAAAACCAACAGACATAACAAAACGGTTATCAGCAAAAGTAAATTAAATCGCCCAAGAATCATTGAAAACCACAGATATTGAAAGATTTTATAATTCAAAAATTCAAAAAATAACAATCATGTAATCAAAGAGAAAACAAACAGTCAATGTCAAAAAGTATAATCCGAAAGCATATCACAAACAAGAGAACAGTAATAATAACACACAAAAAATATGTACTGCAAAAAAAGGGTAGATAACCGCATTAAAAGAGCCAGTATCAGCAAAATTTAAATCAACATCCATAAAACAGTAAGAATATAAGGCACAGAATAATAAAAATAAAAATAAAAAACAAAAAAGTACGATAAAAAGAAGACGATCAAAAATCAATAAATTAAACATTAAAATAAAAAGCAATGCAATCAGCTTTAGTTAATGGTATAAAGAATAGTTCAAAAACTCATAAAAAGCAATACAACAACGAAAATAATAAAAGAAAAAAATACGCAAAAACAATAGACAAATAAATAACTAAATCAATTGCTTAATAAAAAACCGTATATACAAAAATAATAAAAAGGAAAAGTAAAAGAAATGTCGCTAACCAAATAAACAGCTTAAAATCTTACAAAACACAATACAAAATGAAAAAAAGTAGTTCAAAAGAATAACACAAAAACAACAAAATAAAATGTTTCTTACGAGAAAAAATGAAAAAAGAACAGCAATAAATGAATAAAAAAAGAAAATGTAAAAATGTAGCTCATAGTAAAATAAATAACCAAACCAAGTGTATGTGAAAAAATCATAAACAAAAGAAATAAAAGCAAAAGCCCAATAAAAGTCAATGACAAAACGAACAGCCCAAAATCATATGAAAAACAAAATTAACAATAAAAATACCAAAAGAAAACGAAACATTGACTGCAAAAG